TAAAAATAAGCACTACACAAAATTGTGATTGTATTTGAAAATAATATTATATAAGTAAAATATAAGTTCTAGATAATTTTCTGTAATTGAAAGACATTATAGTCAACTAAATATATGAAAAATAAATAAAAATCCAATAATACTAATTATAAACTATTTTATTACTCTAAAAGTATATCTCTATAATATTATTTGAGAAGTCAGTTTCCTACGTGTCGCGCTCAAGTTAACTCTTGCGATGGTTGATTACATAGATACCTTAATGAATTGTTAGATTTTAAATTTATTATTAATTTTTTTTATTTAGTTTCTTTTTTAGTTTTTCCAAATAACATATATAATAAAAAAAGAAATATTTCTAAAATTTTAAAACAGATTTAAAAACGAAAAAAAAATATATATATATATATAATATGATTTTATTAAAAAGGAAAGTTCACAAAATAGTAATATACCCCATTAATATATATTTTCCAAATAACATATATAATAAATAAGAAATATTTCTAAAATTTTAAAACAGATTTAAAAACGAAAATATATATATATATAATATTATTTTATTAAAAAGGAAAGTTCACAAAATAGTAATATACCCCATTAATATATATTTTTAAATAACAAATGGTATATTTTAAAAATAATAAAAATATATATGTTCATGAACATCCAAAATTTATCAGTTACACTTTATTTTCTAATATTTTTTTAGAAATCAACATATAATTTGATAAATATTATGAAAATACTTGTATATTTAAACGATAAATAAAATTAATTTGATTTGACTTAACTAAAATAAGAAATAAATAAATATTATGAAAATACATGTATAATTAAGCGATAAATATAACTAATTTAATTGGACTTAACTAAAATAAAAAGTAATTATACTTCAATTTTAACTCAATATATTCACAACATGAATGACTCGACTAATCTAATTTATATCCAAAATTAAACATCTAACTACAATAAGAACATATAATTTTATAGTAATAATAATATATTTAATTTTATATATAAATTAGAGGTTGACTCAAAGCATATTAAAAAGAAAAAGAAAATA